ATTATAAAATATTATATGTAATATTTATATATTTATGTCTATTATGTATAAACCAAAACCCATTGCCATCAAGTCGGTTCCAACTCATGGCAACCCTATAAGACAGAGTAGAACTGCCCCATAGGGTTTCCAAGGAGTGGCTGGTGAATTCAAACTGTTGACCTTTTGTTTGGCAGCCGAGCTCTTAACCACGACACCACCAGGGCTCCATCTGTTATATATTTATGTATATTATAGTATATTGATCATATGCAAGTTTATTATACTTTCTATCTATAATCTAAATAAAATAATCACCACCTGCCCCTTCCAGTCATGGCCACATCCTGTCCTTCACCGCTGGCCTCTCCATCTGGACCAGCTGCTCACAGGGACACCTAGGTTCTACCTCCCTCCCTCCTGGCCTTCCCCCCAGTGTGCCCTCTACACTGTAGTCAAAATCATCTTTCTAAGATACAGACCTTTTTCTTTAAACAACTTTATAATTTAAACCTGCTGCCCCAGAACGTTCTGAGGTTCTGCTTTGGGTGCCAGCCGCTTGGGGCCTCCCTTTGAGATTCCCAGGCTTGAAGTCAGGAGTGTAATCCCTCCTCTGCCACCTCCAGCACTGCGAACTTGGGTGAGTAGCTCTCTGTACCTCAGTTTTCTCATCTGGAAAGAGGGGGCTCAGACAGGACATCTGTTCAGGAGGTTGTGAGGCTTATTCCAACTCAACAACCCTGTAGGACCGAGCAGAACTGCCGTACGGGGTTTCCAAGGCTGTCATCTTTACCGGAGCAGGCTGCGAGGCTTAGGAGGTGGTGAATGCCCCAGTCGCTCTTCCCAGGCCCTTTTTTGTTTTTGTAAAGGACACTCACCACCTGCCAAATAAACCCCAGTCCCACCCAAAGTGGGGAGGGGCTTCTCGGTAGGTGAGGCGGTGGAGGTGGGTGTGGGGCGCCCCACCCGGTCCTGCAGGACCCTGAGAGAAACAGGTGGGAAACTCACTTTAAATTACTTCAGCACAGACTGCACACCTGTGCATCTGTGTATGTGACAGTGTGTGTGCATGCATGTATGTGCATGTCGTGGACACACCATGGGAGCGTGTGTATGTGAGTGTTCATGTGTGCATGCACCTGTGTATGTGTTCATCCATGCACAGACATGCATGTCTGTGTGGACTAAGTGCACACGTGTGTGCATACGTGTGTGCCCGTGCATTGTGTGCATAGGTACATGTGCACATGTGCACGTGTATGTGCGTAAGTATTCCTGCCTGCGCGTGTTCAGGCTGCCTTCCCTGGGCGGCGGTCTCTCTAACGGGACTGGCGCTCCTGGGCGTAGCCGCCTCTTGTCAGAACACCAGCCGGGCCCAATCTCTAGCCTGGCCGGCGCGAGGCTGAGCGCGCAGACCACACCCGCCATAGGACGCTTGTGTGGCTGTTCAGCGCTTGTGGCCTGGCTAGCCTGTGGTCAGACCCGCCCAGCCTGATCTGAATAGGGAGAGCCTGACCCAGCCTGTAACCTGCGTCCGAGGGACGGAGAGGGCCCCTGACGCCCTGGTCCTCGCTGGGTCAGGGGGTCGCGCACGCCCTCGAGCCCCCTTCGCTGCTGGCAAGTCAGGCCCCCTGCCCCAGAGCAGGTGCGCGCAGTGGGAGCTGCGAGGACTGTGCGCGTGGAGAGCGGCCCCCTCTTGCTCGGGTTATCCAAAAGCGCGCAGGACTAGGTGCCGCAGGGGTCCTGCCCGCAGCACGGACCCCCTCTTCTCCCCCTGTCTGCGCTGGGCGGGGCGGAGTCGGTGGCCCGGGCGGGGAGACATTCTCACGGGGCCGGTGCCAAGCCGTGCAGGGCGCCGGGGAGGGCGCCGGGGCTAGGGGGTGGGGGGAGCGCGCGGCCCGCCCAGCAGTATCGCGGGTCCCCCCTCCCCGCACCGGTCGAGCCAAGCGGATCTAGAGCCAGGTCATCGGCCGCAGAGCCCGCCCTCCAGCCTCCTGCGCTAGCACTGCTGCCCAACCATCCCGCGCAGCCAGGCCCTGCCCAGCCCCGGTGCCCCTCCCGCGGCTCCTCGGGTCCCTGTCACCGCCCCCGCTCGGGCCGCTGCCCCCAGGCCCAGCCTGGTCCCTGCCCCCCCGCGCCCGCGTCCCCATGGAGCAGCTGCTGCGCGCGGAGCTGCGCACCCGCACCCTGCGGGCCTTCGGGAGCTCAGGGGCCGGCTACATCAGCGAAGGCCGCGCCTACGACACAGACGCTGGCCCGGTGTTCGTCAAGGTGAACCGCAGGACGCAGGTGCGCCCCTCGGGGCCGGGGCCGTGGCCGGGGGCTGCGTGCGGGGTGGGGGCGGGGGGATGGCCCGCCCTGCGGTGTCGCTGCCAGGTCAGGCCCCAGGTCAGCTGTGGCCCAGGGGAAGCTCTCAGCTCCGGGTCAGCGGGTTTCACCGTTGTCTGGGGGACCTGGGATATTTGTCTTTGCTGAGGGATTAATTTACTTTCTTTTTGCCCCGTGCACGTTTGTTTTGTTTGCGTGGAAGGAGGCAGGCCTGGGGTCTGGGGTCTGGGCTTGCTCTCAGCCCTCGTCCTGCTCAGCAGGTGGAAGCTCAGGAGTGGGGCACCCCAGGCACTCTCTGACAGTCGCTTCGCTCACGGGCTGTCCTGTTTAGGCCTGGTTCCCGATGCTTGCTTCTTACAATATTTCTCTTTAATAATTGATGGAACAGTTACCTTTCACACGTGGAGAAAGCTGGCTATTGCATGCGGGCACCCCCCCACCCCCACCCCAGGCCAGAGGCCGGCTGGAGGCCAGAAGGCAAAGGACTCGGGTTCAGAGGGGCTCCTGGGCAGCTGGGGGAGGCCCGCCTGCTCTGTGGGCCCCTTCAGTGCTGCCTGGTGGGGCGGGGGGCTGGAACAGAATTGCAGAGGGACCTGGAGGTCCAGCTGCTGGGTAGGGCAGGGGACTGGATTCTTCCATGTGCTCGCGCCCCGCATCCAACATGGAGACTCCCCCCGAATTCCCAC